TGAGAGAGTCGCCTCACTTCACAACAGTGAGGAGTGAGGGAAGGAGGTCTTAGAGAGCCTCTCACCTTGGGGAGGTAGGGCGGGGGTAGAGGAGGGAGGAGCCATAAAGGCCACTGTTATTGTCTTATAATAAGGTAAAACCGGCTCTAGGACGATAGTGATGTAAATGTGTTCCATCAAGACCCGTCTATAGTCTTAACTCTTGGATGTGAAGAGTAAAATGCTATACCACGGTGTATCTTAAAGTCGATCCTCAGAGTGGATTTGGGTTGCATATGAGTCTTCAATTCGAGGAGATCTTATTGTCGTTGTAGCAGTGTTGTTGTCAACTCTTAGGAGGACTTGTGACCGTGGAACCTTTTGCTTATTGTTGCAAGCCTCTTGAAGAAGGTAGATGGAAGCCCCTTGTTAGATAAATTGGCGGAATTGTCTTGGAAAAATTGCTTGAAGTCTTCGGGGAATTGCCGGCGGGGACCTTTAGCAAATACAAATCTTTTGCAACATTTCTCCTCACACACTGTAATGAATTGCGATCTTTGCAACAGCTGTTGTCGGCCTCATCACACTGCAGTGGACTCGTTGAAAGAAAGTTTCAATTTCTCCTGGTGGGCGACTGTCAATAAATGATTTCCCCTTTCTGTCGAGTTTTTTTTGTGTGTTACTTTGACAGGTTTCCAATACGTGCCACTCTTGCTCCCTGATGAAACTGCTCGTTTGGCTTGCTTTCATTTTGTTTTTACGGTTTTAATCTGCTCGGTGATGTCTTATTCTAACTTTTTGTGTTATAATTATATTGTGTGTGTGTGTGTGTGTGTGTGTGTGTGTGTGTGTGTGTAGGAACCTAGTTGTACTCACCTAGTTGTGTTTGCGGGGGTTGAGCTCTGGCTCTTTGGTCCCGCCTCTCAACCGTCAATCAACAGGTGTACAGATTCCTGAACCTATTGGGCTCTATCATATCTACACTTGAAACGCTGTATTGAGTCAGCCTCCACCACATCACTTCCTAATGCATTGTGTGTGTGTGTGTGTGTGTGTGTGTGTGTGTGTGTGTGTGTGTGTGTGTGTGTGTGTGTGTGTGTTTTATGCCAAGCTGATGGGCTCACAAAAGAGGAGTTGCACCAGTGTGCTGAAGGATTACATGCACAAGCTACAGGGCAGTGGGTCGACAAATGGCTACCGGAGTTTAACTCGAGCAAAAGCAAGGTTATAGACATGGGGGGTACGAGGGCGGCCAGGAGAGCAGAACAGACAGATATGGAGACAGCTAGAGCCCTGTGAAGAGGTTCAGTATGAACCTCTCACCAGACGCGCTCCTCTACAGGATCACGTCTTGTGCAGAACTATCCTACCTTGATTACCTTGAGATGATTTCTGGGCTTAGCGCCCCCGCGGCCCGGTCCTCGACCAGGCCTCTTCGTTATTGGACTGGTCAACCAGGCTGTTGGACGCGGCTCCTCGCAGTCGGTGCTGAATTACTGAAAGTAAAAAAAAAAAAATTCAAGGTATCTAAAGGAATTCTTCAGAACTCTGTACACAACCCATGTAAGACCAGTACTGGATTATGCAGCACCGGAATGGAACCCACGCGTTATGAAACAGAAAAAAAAGTAGTATAAAAGATTCCAGAGACTAAAGACGACTGTTACCATAACAATGACCTCTTGAGGAATACCTAAGGCGAGAAGAACCAGAGGAGACAATTGTGGCCTATTGGGGAATGTTGTACATGCTGCTATGGCGGTATCTCCACTCACAAGATGAGTGGCGCTGCCCAATACTGTCACTATGGCGGTGTGTCCACTCACAAGATGAGTGGCGCTGCCCAATACTGTCACTATGGCGGTATCTCCACTCACAAGATGAGTGGCGCTGCCCAATACTGTCACTATGGCGGTATCTCCACTCACAAGATGAGTGGCGCTGCCCAATACTGTCACTATGGCGGTATCTCCACTCACAAGATGAGTAGCGCTGCCCAATAAACTCGCCCCTCGGGGCAAAATTAAAAATTTAAATTTGTGGCCTGGGTAAATACTTACACAAAGCTACTGCTGGAGGACAGAAGCCTAAAACAAGGCCATAGGTGGAGCCTGGAGACGAAGCCGTCTTGGGGACGTAATGCACACACTCCCCCGGAGGCCGTCCTGGTGTTGGAGCACGTCTTCAAGACCATTGGACGCCTGCAATAAATTTCTTTAAATTATGACTGGTGTACTGGGCTGGTGCTGTAATAATATTTTAGGTGAAGGAGAGAGAGAGAGAGAGAGCTAGAGAGAGAGCTAGAGAGCTAGCTGGGTAGAGGGGAATGAGGGAGGAGGAGGAGGAGTGGTGAATGGTACCTAAGAGACCTTTTAAAACATAATTTGTGCATTTTTTAGGTTAATGAACATGTGGGTGATGGTGATGGGGCCGTGAAGGGACGACATGTGTGCGTGGTGAAGGTTGTGGCGGCACTGGTCAGTCACCACCGGCGCTCCTCCCTCCCTCCCTCGGGGCTGACATACTCGGAGAGCAGCAGTATGATGTATGGTCCGATAAGGACGTGGGGGGTTATATCTTAATGGATGCACCAAGTGGCGGGTAAACACGAGGAAAAATATGGTGTTGAATGGAGGGGGGGAGGGGGGTAAGATGACGGGATGTCTTCCTGAGGTTATGGATAGGAACGGGGAGGGAAGGGGAGGCGAGGAAGGGGGCGAGAGAGAGGAGAGGAGAGGGAGAAGACTGTTATAGTGGCAGTGGAAATGGAACCTGGGTAAATAATGACGGTAGTAAAGGGAATGGTGGCTAGCGTAATATTGTGCCGGGGGCCTTACCTGTGGCGAGGCGCGGGCCCGCCCACCCACCTGGTCTGTGGCGAGGCGCGGGCCCGCCCACCCACCTGGTCTGTGGCGAGGCGCGGGCCCGCCCACCCACCTGGTCTGTGGCGAGGCGCGGGTCCGCCCACCCACCTGGTCTGTGGCGAGGCGCGGGTCCGCCCACCCACCTGGTCTGTGGCGAGGCGCGGGTCCGCCCACCCACCTGGTCTGTGGCGAGGCGCGGGTCCGCCCACCCACCCACCTGGCCTGTGGCGAGGCAGAGAGTATTAGGAACTATCTGGAGGGTGGAAATGAATGTGGTGGTAGTCCTTGTCGCCTGGGGTTCGCGGGTGTAGCCTCACGACGGGCTACTAACCATCTCTCCCGCGGGCTCAATCACCGCCAGTCGGGTGTTGGCGACCTTGGGAGTCGCTGGAGCAGTATTTACACGGCCTGAAGCTCACTCCCGGCTCTTACTCGTAGCAATTTGGCTAATGCAAGCGGACGTTGGAAGGTCCTTAACCTGCGGTCCTCTGATGGGGAAGAATGGATATAGGTCTACGTGCCCGTCACGTGGCTGGTCTTTAACCTCAACTACTTTACCTATTTTGTAACTGACGTGTATTTCTGTAATTGTATTAATATTCTTCGTGTGTCGTCAGTTTTTCTCTGTGGCTGAGGCGTCGCTCGCCTCTTTGTGAGGTGTGGATCAGCGCCTCGCCTCGGCCTCCGCTCCTTGCCTCAGCCTCCGCGCCTCGCCGTTCTCCTGCCACAGGCCGGTGTTGGGCGACGAGAGGCCATGTAATATATTTCCTTGGCGATGCACGGGCGTGTTGATGGACGGGTGTCTTGGTGTGGTGGTGGTTTAGCGTCGTCAGCGCAGTTTTTGAGGCGGCTAAAGCCGGGGCTAGGCCCGTTGTTTGCGCGTGCGTGCGTGTTGAGTGCGTGCGTACGCATGTGTGTGTGTGCGTGCGCGCTTTCGTGCGTGTGTTTGGGGGGGGGAGGGGGTGTCGGAACGCGGCCGTCATCGACCGTCTCCCGCCCGCCACAGAGGATGCGCCGGGGCTGCCTGAGCCACGATAACACACAGCGGTGTACGAGCTCGCTTCCCTCTGGTGTAATGACTCGGGTTTATTATTGCGGCTCTTGAGTGTATCTGATAAGAACGTGAAGAGGGCGGGAAGGGTTGTGGGGGCCAGGGGAGGAGGGTGTTGACACCAGAGGTGGCTGTCGGCCTGGTCTGGAAGATGGTTGATATCTGGTCTTGCCCTCACTGGAACACGCTCTCCAGTGCCACGGTGCCGGAGGTACGAAGTCTGGCACTCTCGTTGATGAGCATTTTCTTTTTTCCTATTAATACCTTTTTGATTGAGACGGGCACTGGTGAGACGGGTAGAGGGGGTGAATGGGAGGTTAGTGGGGGTAAAATGGGTAGACGGAGGTGGGGAAGGTGGCCTAGCTTGGCCTAGTGGAGGCGGTGAAAGAAACATGGGCTCTCTCTCTCTCCCTCCACGGCCAGGACAACACCCCGACCAAACAGTCACTCCTGGAAGCCTGAGCAAGTGACAGCCGCCGCCTGGAATCCTGCTCCCCTTTCTCTCTAAAACGCGGCCTCCAGGCTCGTCTGGTGGTGGAGATGGCCCGGTGGTAGGCTGTGTGTCGAGGCCAGCCTCACCCTTCACACAACACACACAGGTTTCCATGCGGAGTTTCCTTGTTTAGTGATGGTGTGAGATGAGCTAGCGGCGCTGGCTCACACAGGCAGCAGTGTCTCGTTATTATTTCACAGTGGGGGACGCCTAGGTCTCGTAGCTCCTCGGCCCCACTGGAGCGCCCTTCATGAAACAGATTTGGCCCCAAAAGTGGTCGAGGACTTGGCCCTGTTGTGTGGAAGGCGTGCAGGGGTGCCAGAGATGACTGGCCAGTGAGGAGCCCGGTAGGTGTTGTGTGTGGGGGTTACTGGTGTTGTGACTGTGTTGATCTCACCCCTCGTCTCTATGTGTGGCTGTCTTGGAAGAGTGCAGTAGTGCGCACACATGTACTCGACAGCTGGTGCACACGTTCCTGGTGCACACGCTCCTGGTGCACATGCTCCGGAGCGGCTGGTGATGCTACGGGAGCGTGAAGCAGGCAGTCAGCTGATTTCTGGCCTGGTGTGGGGGGGTGGAGGCACTCGGGAGAGAGAGTGAACCAAGAGTGTCAGACGCGGCCGGTGAACATGCTGCTACAGTGTGTAGGGAGGGGCGCTCCTGACGAGGAAGACGAGGAGGAGGAGGAGGAGATAGAGGTGGTTGAGCGTGTTGATGCCAGGCAGCTGGTGAAGGCTAGGTACCACACCACCTGTGGGTCGAACACTCCGTGGCGTGCCAAGGATGCCACCACCTGCCCAAGTGCCAGGATCATACTCCTCAGGAACACCATCTGCCCCACGATTGATGAAAACAGAAACATGGAGTAGGTCCTAAACCCTGACCTCGCTTCTGCACCACCTGCTGCTGCTGCCTCATTACCATCTGTCACCCCCCAGCCTCGCCTCTCTCTCACACACACACATGCCTCTCACCACCTGTCTTTCATCCCCACCTCCACATTGTCCTCTGACAGGTAATACTACACCAGCTGGCCTTCCTCACTTACAGAGGGTTCCTAGACGATCTAATATGGCACTTTAGTTGTCACTTGCAATCATGGCACTCACAATCATGGCACTTTAAGCAGGCGATGAGTCACAATAACGTGGCTGAAGTATGTTGACCAGACCACACACTAGAAAGTGAAGGGACGACTATGTTTCTGTCCGTCCTGGACCATTCTCTATCGACTTGTGAATGGTCCAGGACGGACCGAAACGTCGTCGTCTCTTCACTTTCTAGTGTTTGGTCTGGTTAACATGGCACTATAAATTGACACGATAAAATGCACAGTATATGGCACTTGGTATAGTATGAGAGCGACAGTGCACTACTGCTGTAATCACTGAACCATCAAGCTTGTAGATGATTAAACTGGCAGAATATCCTGCACCAGTTCACTAATTGCTTGTAGTTGTGTTGACTGTTGCAATGTGTGTGTGTGGGGGTGTTGTTTGTGTGTTTGTATTGCGTGTTGATGGTGCTTGTATATATATGCACAGTGCGCCAGTTTAATATTAAAATTAATTCTTTATTGTCCATTTAAACAATAGCGATAGCAGGCACACACACACACACGAGTATATTACAGTTACGGCATGAAGTCTCCACTTGAAGGGACTCTTGCACTGAGAGGATAACACTTACATTTTCCTTAGATAAACATTAAGGAGGAACATATACGAGTCGAGAGTGAGGTGAGCGAGTGAGTTGCACTCTTGTTGTGATGCTAGATGAGGATGCTGCCCTTATCTCCTCCCAGCGAGCGTGAAATAGGAGTGAAGAGTTTGGTCCAGGTAGTTGACAGTGAGCATAGTTTGAGGTCGACTTGGTGTCCGACCACTGATGCAGTGCCACTTGAGGGCCAGGTAGGATGGGAGGAGTGCCAGACCCCAGTTTTCAGTACACTAACATAATAACTGTATACATGGGAGTGATGACGTAAGAAGAACACAAGCAGTGAGCACATGTCATCCTCAGACAGCGAGGTTTATACCCACTTACAAAAAGATAGCTCAGTGGCTCGGTCGGTAGCGCTTGGGCCTCCCACACACATGGGGGGGGGTCTACGGTTCGAGTCTCCTTGAGCCCAGGTGAATAGGAGCCCACTCACAAGTGTGTATAGCCCATAACACTGTTTTTTTCCAGTATATGTAGTCCATGCGTCTGCCCGCCTCCACTGTGTGCGTCCTCTTGGTGCGTTTGTCGGCCTTGTCTTGTGTATAATGTATTCATCAGGTCCTCATGCCAGCGCCGGCACTCCCGACGATACAAACCCACACCATCCGGCTCTGTGCCACACTATCTCTGCCACTGCCACAGTCGCACCGTGTCAACCCGCCAATCCCCCCCTTTTTCACGCCACCCCTTCCAGTACACAACCCATTCCACCCGTCCCAGTCATACAAGACCCCTCACCTGTCAGACGCCATTTTCGTCCCTACCGCAGTCCACCTTCCGGGAGTGTATTGTCCAGCTCTAATTTTTTAATTATCAAGGGAAAGCGCCAAGCCATTACGACTGTAGCACTGGGAAGGGGTCAGGATAAGGATTTGGGAAGGGACGGGGGGAGGAAGGAATGGTGCCCAACCACTTTGGCGGTCGGGGGATTGAACGCCGACCTGCATGAGGCGAGACAGTCGCTCTACCGTCCAGTCAAAGTGGCTAGGGATATGCAGGCGAGGAGTCACAATAACGTGGCTAAAGGATGTTGACCAGACCACACACTAGAAGGTAAAGGGACGACGACATTTCGGTCCGTCCTGGACCATTGTCAAGTCGATTGTGAGATAGACTTGAGAATGGTCCAGGACGGACCGAAACGTCGTCGTCCCTTCACCTTCTAGTGTGTGGTATGGTCAACAGAGCTGGGGATAGTTGCCATGTCTGAAACAATGCACCCGCGTTATTTGAAGTGTTGTGAAATAGCAGTGGAAAATGTGTCTGTGGAGATGGTACGATAATAGATGCAGACGATGAGTCACAATAACGTGGCTTCTATAATTTGAAGACACACACACACCTCGCATTCTGGTGTGTGGCCTAGTCTCCATGCTATAATATATACTTGGTTATTGTTCCAATATTACGGGCTCACCATAGCCCGTGCTACATGGACACGTCGTTCTGAGTAGCTAAATCTACAACAACAACATTGTTCCAATAATGTTAGGGGAGGCGAGAGTCTACCAGTCTCTTGACAAGAGGATAGGAGTCTACCAGTCTCTTGACAAGAGGATAGGAGTCTACCAGTCACTTGACAAGAGGATAGGAGACAGACTAAAAGTGTTACTTTTTTCTATAAGGATGAACCAAGTGTTAATGTTGGGTTACAGAGCTCTGTTTTGCCCTCCTGGATTGATGAGTGTTTCAGTTAAAAGTCGTGCCGAGATGAACCTAATTTATAGGTTGAATTAGTATTGATGTGATGTGGGGGCATTGAGTCAGTGTTGGGCTCATTATGATCACAATTACTCTGAAGCTTCAGCTGTGTGTGTGTGTGTGTGTGTGTGTGTGTGTGTGTAATTACCTAAGTAATTACCTAAGTGTAGTTACAGGATGAGAGCTACGCTCGTGGTGTCCCGTCTTCCCAGCACTCTTACTTTGTGTGTGTGTGTGTGTGTGTGTGTACACCTCTTCCCACGCTAGGGAAGACGTCTTCAAGGTTACCTCAAGACTGCAGAGTTAATGTTGTTTTAAGATTCAGCTACTAGGAACAAAACGTTCCAAGTAGCACGGGCTATAGTGAGCCCGTAGTGGACTTACCTGGCACAGGAGCGGGACTGAAACTTCAGCAAAGTTAACAGCCTTCAAGTACTTGTAAAGACGTCTCACCTAAGCTGTCTGGGGGGCAAAGGTCAGAGCAAAGTTTGAAGGGGGATTAATGACCATTTTTCTGTAACTTGGGAGGCAGAAACGATCATAAAATAACACTTAATTACCCCAGGAGGAAATCTTGCTACCTTGTGTAATTAAATGATATTCTCTCGGCTTGTTTGGGGTTGGTAATTGTCGTCTTGGGTTGTAGTGGTTCGTGGTCGTTAGACGCCGCCTGCCTTGTTAGGTTGAGGCGTGACGTCACTTGATAGTGTTGATGGTGTTTCCTTTGATATTATGGGTAGTGATGATTTAGTGATTTAGTAAGTAGTGATAGTGATGATTTAGTGATTTAGTAAGTAGTGGTAGTGATGATTTAGTGATTTAGTAAGTAGTAGTGATAGTGATTTAGTAAGTAGTGATAGTGATGATTTAGTGATTTAGTAAGTAGTGATAGTGATGATTTAGTGATTTAGTAAGTAGTGATAGTGATGATTTAGTGATTTAGTAAGTAGTGATAGTGATGATTTAGTGATTTAGTAGTAGTGATAGTGATGATTTAGTAAGTAGTGATAGTGATTTGCCAGAGGTTCTTGTTCCTATTTCCACAAAGTTTTTACTCTTGTATAGAGCTTTATTTTCTTTATTTTGAGTCGAGTGCGGTTTTAAAGGTCACTCTTGTAAGTGTGAGTGAAGCTGTTGTGAGTGTGGGTGAAGCTGTTGTGAGTGTGGGTGAAGCTGTTGTGAGTGTGAGTGAAGCTGTTGTGAGTGTGGGTGAAGCTGTTGTGAGTGTGGGTGAAGCTGTTGTGAGTGTGGGTGAAGCTGTTGTGAGTGTGGGTGAAGCTGTTGTGAGTGTGGGTGAAGCTGTTGTGAGTGTGGGTGAAGCTGTTGTGAGTGTGAGTGAAGCTGTTGTGAGTGTGAGTGAAGCTGTTGTGATGTGTGAGGTGAAGCTGTTGTGTTGTGAGTGTGGGTGAAGCTGTTGTGAGTGTGGGTGAAGCTGTGTGAGTGTGGTGAAGCTGTTGTGAGTGTGGGTGAAGCTGTTGTGAGTGTGGGTGAAGCTGTTGTGAGTGTGGGTGAAGCTGTTGTGAGTGTGGGTGAAGCTGTTGTGAGTGTGGGTGAAGCTGTTGTGAGTGTGGGTGAAGCTGTTGTGAGTGTGGGTGAAGCTGTTGTGAGTGGGGTGAAGCTGTTGTGAGTGTGGGTGAAGCTGTTGTGAGTGTGGGTGAAGCTGTTGTGAGTGTGGGTGAAGCTGTTGTGAGTGTGGGTGAAGCTGTTGTGAGTGTGGGTGAAGCTGTTGAGTGTGGGTGAAGCTGTTGTTAGTGTGAGTGAAGCTGTGTACTCGCCCTGCTGTGTTTGTTGATGGTCGAGCTTCGTGTTTTTGGTCACGCTTCTCAACTGGTGCACAGGTTCCGGGTTCGATCCCCGGGTGGAGGCGGAAACATGGGGCAGACTTTACACCCTGATGATCCTGTTCACCTAGCAGTAAATAGGTACCTGGAAGTTAGACAGCTGCTAGGGAGTGTGTAACAAAAGGGGAGGCCTGGTCGAGGACCGACCCGCGGGGACGCTAAGCCCCGAAATCATCTCGAGATAACCTCAAGATAACCTCAAGATAACAGGTGTGTGGCTGACACTGACAACGTGGGAGTGTAGTGTTGGAACATTGTTGGTGCCATCTTGGATGGGTGCCCGGGCAGGTGTGGCACCTCCCCCCCTGTGTGGCACTCCCCCCCTGAGTCCCCCCTGTGTGTGGCACTCCCCCCTCTGGCACTCCTCCCTCTGTGGCACTCCCCCCTCTGTGGCACTCCCCCCCCCCTGTGTGGCGTCGTTGTGTGTCATCAGCGGTAATGACCGCCTTCACCGTGGTTCCCACGTGTCGTTAAGTGCGCCTCGTGTCGGCAGTGTTCTAACTACCTCGACACTAATTAGCCATTAAACAATTAGCTCCCAGTAACGTGATATCTAGGGGGGATTTGCCTCCCTGACGGGGCTGTCTGGTTCCTGCTGCCTTGATCGGTGGCGGCGCTCTTGTCTTGGGCCACCGCCCTGGGGCTACTGCCCTGGGGCTACTGCCCTGGGGCCACCGCCCTGGGGCTACTGCCCTGGGGCTACTGCCCTGGGGCCACCGCCCTGGGGCCACCGCCCTGGGGCCACCGCCCTGGGCCACCGCCCTGGGGGAGGGGGGGGGGCCACGATACGACCACGGGGGAGCTACGTTCTGTTTCGGCTGCTCCTCTGCCCTTAGCTTGGCTTGGCTTAGCTGTACTCTCTAGCTAAGAAGATGGAAGTAATTCATTCTTCTCTATGAAGCCTCTCTACAGGTTCTGTAGACCTAATGTGAAACCATACCCAAAACTTTTGAATCTGTTTCTTCACTGTGAGCTTGGGCCCCCTCACTCTGAGGGGGCCTCGTAGCCTGGTGGATAGCGCGCAGGACTCGTAATTCTGTGGCGCGGGTTCGATTCCCGCACGAGGCAGAAACAAATGGGCAAAGTTTCTTTCACCCTGAATGCCCCTGTTACCTAGCAGTAAATAGGTACCTGGGTGTTAGTCAGCTGTCACGGGCTGCTTCCTGGGGGTGGAGGCCTGGTCGAGGACCGGGCCGCGGGGACACTAAAGCCCCGAAATCATCTCAAGATAACCTCAAGATAACTTCATAATAATATCTTTCATGCTCCAAAGTACCAAAAGAGTACTTTGGGTAGAGATGCTGCCACTCATCCGGAAGGCCACAGACACGACAGATACAGACGGGGTAGGGGGGGGGTGGAGTGAGGATGTCTGGGGGACACAAAGTGTGATGTGTCGGCGAAACACCGTATCGGGAGCTGGCGTAGAGTGCATCAACAACGACGCACTCGGGTTAAATCGATGATTTGGAGTGTATATGCAGGGTGCTTGACGCCCGAGTGTTCACTGGTGTGTGTACACTCACCTAGTTGTGTTTGTGGGGGTTGAACTCTGGCTCTTTGGTGTGTGTGTGGTGTGTGTGTGTGTGTGTGTGTGTGTGTGTGTGTGTGTGTGTGTGTGTGTGTGAGTGAGTGAGTGAGTGAGTGAGTGAGTGAGTGAGTGAGTGAGTGAGTGAGTGAGTGAGTGTGTACTCACCTAGTTGTGTTTGCGGGGGTTGAACTCTGGCTCTTTGGTCTGTGTGTGTGTGTGTGTGAGTGTGTGAGTGTGTGAGTGTGTGAGTGAGTGAGTGGTGTGTGTGTGTGTGTGTACTCACCTAGTTGTGTTTGCGGGGGTTGAACTCTGGCTCTTTGGTCTGTGTGTGAGTGAGTGAGTGAGTGAGTGTGTGTGAAGGAGAAGAGGAGGATAGTGTTGTTGTTCGTCCTTTGGGTCTTATTTTGCTGTGGTTTCCTCTCTTGAATGGGATATTTTTTTTAGTGGGTTTGAAACCAGTGTTTGTTCCAATTTGTATGTGTTTGCTGGTGTGTGAGCGGCTACGTGACGCTTCTGTACCTCGTTTGTTTTGCCTGGTGCCAGGGAGCCGGCTGGGGGTGCCAGGGAGCCGGCTGGGGGTGCCAGGGAGCCGGCTGGGGGTGCCAGGGAGCCGGCTGGGGGTGCCAGGGAGCCGGCTGGGGGTGGCAGGAAGCCGGAACTCCCACTCTACCCATCAACTCAAACAAAATATAAGCCAAAAAATCTACATTGTTCCTTTTTAATCTGAATTCTAAATGAAATCAGCTTAAGGTGAGGGGGTTGTGTCGAGGACAGGTGTGTCCCTGTCACCCTCACATGTGGCGTAGACGGGACGACAGGTGTGTCCCTGTCACCCTCACATGTGGCGTAGACGGGACGACAGGTGTGTCCCTGTCCCCCCTCACATGTGGCGTAGACGGGACGACAGGTGTGTCCCTGTCCCCCCTCACATGTGGCGTAGACGGGACGACAGGTGTGTCCCTGTCCCCCTCACATGTGGCGTAGACGGGACGACAGGTGTGTCCCTGTCCCCCCCTCACATGTGGCGTAGACGGGACGACAGGTGTGTCCCTGTCACCCTCACATGTGGCGTAGACGGGACGACAGGTGTGTCCCTGTCACCCTCACATGTGGCGTAGACGGGACGACAGGTGTGTCCCTGTCACCCTCACATGTGGCGTAGACGGGACGACAAGTGTCATACTGTTAAGGAGTTCTTACACCGCCGATAATGGTGTCGAAGCTTATCTTATTGTGGGGTTAGTGGGGGTTAGGTTTATCTTGTATATGTGTGTGTGTTGCAAGGGGGGTTGACACCAGGTGTGTTGAACTGTTGCAAGGGGTTGACACCAGGTGTGTTGACTGTTGCAGGTGTTGACACCAGGTGTATTGAATGTTGCAAGGTGTTGACGCCAGGTGTGTTGACTGTTACAAGGTGTTGACGCCAGGTGTGTTGACTGTTGCAAGGTGTTGACGCCAGGTGTGTTGACTGTTACAAGGTGTTGACGGCAGGTGTGTTGACTGTTACAGATGTGAGGGGGACAGCGGAATCTCTGGATCAACATCTGAGAGCAGCAGCGCCAGTGGGAGCCTTGCCAGTAGCCGCAAATCCTCCGCCTCCAGCTTCTGCGCCTCGAGGAAGAGCTCCGCCTCCAGCTTCTGCTCCTCGAGGAAGAGCTCCACCTCCAGCTCGTGCTCCTCGAGGAAGAGCTCCTCCTCGAGTGTCGGGGGTCCGCCCTCACCCGGCACCTCGCCCTCGAGTGGCGCCGGCGCCATGAGTGACTCGGACGTGAGCCTTGAGCAGCAGACAAACAATAACAATGACGATGCCAACAAGCCCGACCCCTCCGCCGACGATCTCAAGCTGCTGGCCGCCCTCGAGGAGGCTAACAGGTCAGTTCCTGGCGTCTTCAAACTTTCTTCCCCCTAACCACTTGGACTGGACGGTAGAGCGACGGTCTCGCTTCATGCAGGTCGGCGTTCAATCCCCGACCGTCCACAAGTGGTTGGGCACCATTCCTTTCACCCCCGTCCCTATCCCAAATCTTTATCCTGACCCCTTCCCAGTGCTATATAGTCGTAATGGCTTGGTGCTCTCTCCTGATAGTTCCCTTCCCTTCCCTTCCCTTCCCTTCCCTTCCCTTCCCTTCCCTTCCCTTCCCTTCCCTTCCCTTCCCTTCCCTTCCCCTGACTCTCTCCCTAAACTTCTTTGTGCCCTCAATTTAGTTAACGTTCTTTCCTCCCCCCTTGGGTTTTTTCCCCTTATTTTCCCGAACTGTTTTTCCCTGGTAACTTTTTTTTTAAGCGGATACTTTTATTGCCAATATTTTTGTAGGTTAACTTTTACTAGTTAATTATTTTGTGGAGGTTGTGGAGGTTGGTACGAGTTTGTTATGGCGATTTTCAAATGTTTATTTCCCGGATGAGCCCTCGTGCTTGTTCCTAACAGCCGGTGGCAGGTTTAACAGCTTAGATTGATTGATGAAGATTAAGCCACCCAGAAGGTGGCACGGGCGTGAATAGCCCGTAAGTGGTGGCCCTTTTGAGCCATTACCAGTATCAAGAGCTGATACTGGAGATCTGTGGAGGTGCGGCTGCACCCTGCGTGACGGGAGATGTCTCCCGTGAACAGCTTAGACAGGTGAAGGTGGTTTGTATATCCGTCTTAGTAAAGCAGGTAAGTGGTCACCTTGTGTAAGGAACACTGTATTGTATAAGGGAGCCGGTCGGCCGAGCGGACAGCACGCTGGAATTGTGATCCTGTGGTCCTGGGTTCGATCCCAGGCACCGGCGAGAAACAATGGGCAGAGTTTCTTTCACCCTATGCCCCTGTTACCTAGCAGTAAAATAGGTACCTGGGTGTTAATCAGCTGTCACGGGCTGCTTCCTGGGGGTGGAGGCCTGGTCGAGGACCGGGCCGCGGGGACACTAAAAGCCCCGAAATCATCTCAAGATAACCTCAAGATAGTAAAGCAGGTAAGTGGTCACCTTGTGTAAGGAACACTGTATTGCCCTACAAAACACTGTGATTGCATTAGGATGAGTTTTTCTGGCTTACCTTACCTCCTTGAT